GATGAGATTTGGAATCGAAATGAGATGATCATCGGCGATGCATTTACGTACACAGTAGTTACTGACATCATGCTTAGCGATGACATTGAACCATGTTTCGTTGATGAATGCCAACGTAGAATGGATTGGTCAAATTGGAAACAAGCAATCTAGGTTAAATTCGATTAACTTGCGAAACTTAAGCTGTTTGGACCTGGAGCTCCTACTTTACCACATGTGAAACCCGTTGGCCACAAGTGGGTTTTCGTGAGGAAGCGTAATGAGAAGAATGAAATAGTGTGATACAAAGCACACCTCGTAGCACAAGGCTTCTTTCAGTGCCTTAGGATTGATTATGAGGAGACGTATTCCTCCGTAATGGACGTCATAACATTCCGCTACCCAATCAGTTTGGTAGTTTTCGAAAAACTAAATATGCAGCTTATGGACGTGGTAACCACGTATCTCTATAAGGATCTAGATACGGAAATCTACATGAAAGTTATAGAAGAACTTCCATTGACTGGTTCAAATAGTTCTAGACCACGGAACATTCTCTTTATTAGATTGAGGAGATCACTCTACGGATTGAAACAATCGGGACGGATGTGGTATAACCATCTGAGTGAATATTTGATAAAGAAGTCACATTCCAGATTTACGATCATTGTAGCTTATGTCGATGACATGAACCTCATTGGAACTTTCGCAAAGCATGAGGAAATTGCCACTCACTTAAAATCAGAATTTGAGATGAAAGATTTTGGGAAAACTCAATATTGTATCGGCCTGGAGATCAAGCATTGTTCGAATGAAACCCTAGTACATCAATTAAACTACACCCAAAAGGTGTTGCGACGTTTTAATGAGGATAAAGTGAAGCCTTCGAGTACACCTATGGTCGTTCGAACTCTAGATGCTAAACAAGATCCCTTTCGTCCAAAAGGAGGATGAGGAAGAGATTTTGGAACCCGAAGTTCCATACCTAAATGCAATTAGGGCTTTATTGTACTTGGCTCAATACACTAAACCTGACATCTCATTCGCTGTTAATCTTTTGGCAAGATACAGCAATGCGCCCACATGCAAGCATTGAAATGGTGTTAAAGACATTTTCCACTACCTCAAGGGTATGATGGATTTGGGCTTGAACTATACCCTCAAATCTTCGAGAGTTGCCACCCCTCTTGGTTCTCGGATTGATTCCCACCTAGTTGGTTATACAGATGCTGGATATCTGTTTGACCCACATAGGGCACATTCTCAAATAGGCTATGTCTTTACTGTTGGAGACACCGCTATATCTTGGAGGTTTACCATGCAAATGCTATTTGTGACTTTTTCCAACCATGTTGAGATTCTTGCCCTACATGAAGCATCGCGTGAGTACTTTTGGTTGAGAGCAGTCATGGAACATATTCGAAGCACTAGTGATCTTACTTCCGTTGTTGACCTTTCTACAACGATCTTTAAAGACAATGCAGCATGTATCGAGGAGTTAAATAAGGGATACATCAAGGGAGACAATCTTATCAGCAACAGCAGCATCAAAACATTGAAGTTAAGTAAATCCGTTCCCAGGACAACCTGGCCGATCTCTTCACCAAGTCAATGCCCAAGTCTACTTTTTAGAAACTTATCCAAGGAATCGGTATGCGTGGATTATCTGAGTTGAATCACCTGTAGTTCTCTTATTTAGAAGTTATGTCTAACTTAAGGGAAGTATCCTGAAGGATACTCATTTGATCTTAATGTACTATTTTTCCTACGATTAGAAACATTTTTCCCACTGGTGCTACCTAACGAGGTTTGAACGAGGCACCCATCATGGGATGATCATACTCTGTTGAGTTCACTACTTTCGTCTTGTTTGACATTTGTTTTAGACATTATGCATACTTCTCACTTTTCTCCTTAGTCTATGTGTTTTCCCCATACCTTGGGTTTTACCATAGCGAGGTTTTGTGAGTTTTACTATCAATGCATACTTTCATTAAATTTGAGACTCGCATTCGCCTGTTGTGTCGTCTACTTCATCAACTGTTCTACCTTATCTACTGAAGATCTGATGCGATGTTTTGTTGAGTATTTACACACTCAAGGGGGAGTGTTGCAGTCATATTTGGAATCGGAATATGATTATGTAAATCTTAGTGTATATAGGGATATCTTTTATATTCCCTTTAGTAGTTAATATCCTATTAAGAGTTGTAATCCTAAAAGGGTAAGGATTTAACCTATCCTATTACTATAAATAAATGCACAATGGGGTGATACAATACGCACCTCACAATTAAATCTTTCTTTTCTCTCTCTCACTACCGATGGCCTCTCCCTCTCTATTCCCTTATAATAACTCAGTTAAATAGGCATACAACATAATAGTTATTATATCTTTGGGCCTAATTAAATACATATTTGACACATTTATTAGAAAAGAAGAGGATTTAACACTTGTATTCAATTTGCCACATCAGCCATCAAATATGATCTTGACTTATTATTGTTGACGTCTCCTTTGGAGATTCTCTAAGTGACTTATTTAAGGGCGTTTGATGCTGTTGGACAACTAAAGTTTTCTTAAACCCATTAGTACAAATATTATATACCAAAAGAGGATGGGAAATTTGAAAAACTAACCAAATTTTGGACCCTAAATAGAATTCTAGCCACCTTTTTAAATTTATGATAATTATAACCAAAAATTGATATGAAAGTACTAATATACCCTTCAAATAAAGTTTTCTCAAAAAAAAACCCAAAAAAATAAATTGTCATCCATGGAAATTAAACAAAGCAAGATTCAATTAAGATAAGGAGATTCGAAGTAGAATTGAATAAGTTCAAAGCCACCCGTGCTCCTTGAAGTTCCTTAGACAGCCTAAAACCCCAATTCAATCATAGAAGAAAACAAAATCCAAAGTTCAACCTTTGGAGAAAATGAGAGAAAGAGATAGGGACCATCACATTTTGGGCTTTTCACCAACGATTTGGTTCCGGAGCCGATCTTAGAAGTGGAGGTACCAATTGAGGGACTGAGATGTTGAGGAAGGGCAGCAGGTGCAAGTGCTCAAACTCAAGGATTACATCATCGTAGTTGAAAATCAGAAATTGGAGGGCAGAGGAGGAAGCTGACCGAGATTGAGAGTAAGAGTCGTCTTCGTATGGAGGAGGTCGAAAATTTTTTGGGGGTTCGGAACTAAATGAAGGTTGTGTGTGAAGGTATAAAAGAGGAAGAGAGAGGGATCGTGCTACACGCCATGGCTGGCTGTGCTTGGGTTGGGATGTGATGGGTTGGGTTTCTGTGGTTTTAGATTATCATCCATTCTATAGAAAAGACAGAGATGGCAGTAAAAGATAGCCGAACCTTTTGTTTTTTGGTTTCTTTTTTTTTTAGAAAACTTTATTTTAAGGGTGTATTAGTATTTTCATATTAACTTTTGGTTATAATTATTAAAAATTTAAAATGTTGGTTAGAATTCTATTTAGGATCCGAAATTTGGTTATTTTTCCAAATTCCCCAAAGATGATGGTCATTTTATAGATTTTGATTGACACTCTCTAACAAAATAAGGTTCTCTAAATACTGAGTATAATTGATGCAATTATCCTCGATTTTAATTGTTTGTTTACATGTACTGAGTTAACGCATATATCTTTCCTATTAGAAAGTCAGAACCCCACTTTAAAGTCATAGACTTCACAAACAAAAAAACATAAAAGCCCCTGAAACAAAAAAAAAAATCTACAACGAACCAAAAATAATAGAAACAAATTCACAAGGATAATTTTGTCACAACAATAAATGAAAAAAACGGAAATTAGAAAACAAATTATTGGAAAGCTAAAAACAGAAAAGAATAAAATAGGGGACGTGAAATGTGGTGTTTATCTCTTCCACCCAGTACGAATTTCCCACTTTCCGAGTAACCTCCCACAACTTCAGTCCAATCCCAGTGTAACCCCAATTATTTGAAGGACAATCCTTGTTTGCGAATGGGAAAAGAAAACGAGCCGCATCGATTTCCTTTCCATGAAGCCCCTCCTCGTTCTAAACCCTAACGAATAATCCTTGAAATTAACCTAATGGAATGACTTGTGGATTGATATTGTTGATTTACATTCCTAATGGATTGATTTGGTGCGTCTGGTCAATAAAATTTCACCTTTTGTTTCACCTCTTTGATAATAAAAAAATAAAAATAAATAATAAAAAAAAGAGAAAAAATAAGAGTAATGTTAGAGAGACCAAAATTTTAAATTAATTTTGTAAACCAAATGATGTGTCATCAACAGAAAAGAAGCATGTTAATCGACATTTAATTAATAATTCAATCATGAATAACCACATCATTTAGCTTACAAATTTTAACTTAAAAATTTAATCTTCCTGACATTACCAAAAGAATAACACAATAATCAATATTTTAACAGAAGAATAACACAATACTCAATACTTTAACAGACTGTTATCTCAAGCTCATAAGTGTTTTTAGTAAAAGCATGCTAAAAATTTTAATAAAAATCCAAGTTTTTAGGGAAAAGCACCAAGCAAGTGAATGTTCCTCTAAGACTTACTCCAATATTTGAAGTAAAACTCAAATTTTAAGTTCTAAACTTGCCCCAACTTGCTCCAATCTTTAGGTCAAATATGAGTTTTAATTCAAAATTCATTTCTAGGGTAAATTTAGGTCAAGATTTCCCTTAGGTTAGTAGGGCTATTCCATCATATATGCATATTTTTTTAGTTTTATATTAATAAATTAATTGAATTCAATGACTAAGGTATAATATGATCAAATCCAACAGTAAAAAAAAGATCTAACGGTCCAAATTTAAATTTAACGGCGAAAGTAATTAAATTTTTTTTATGTGTTTCATATTCTTTTACTGTTCCACGAGTTTCATGATGTCGATTTAATGATTTTTTTTATTTCAATATTATCAAAATCTAAATATTTTTAAATTAAAATGTTCATATAATTAAATTAGGATAATCTACGTAATTTTTTAAAACAGATGCCCCTCCTAAAAATATTCCTCCAGAACTCCAACGAACCCTCCAGAAAAGCTTACCAGCCGCCGCCGACCAGTATAAAATCCACGAACGAAAAACTCCAAAACCGTAAAAAGAAAACGAATTCAGAGAGATTTTGGGAAATTTTGGAGAAGAATGTTCTTCTTCTTCGCCGGAGGAGTCCAGCAGCAGGTGCGGGAGGTACTGAAATCCGGCGCGGGCAGGTGCATAGCGTGCAGGTCGCCGGCGGATCTGGTGGAGTACGAGAAGGTTCTGAAGCTCTTCTTCGTCCCCGTGTGGCGTTGGCCGGGGAAAGAGCCTGTCATGCACTGCAACAATTGCAACCTCTTCTTTCCTGAGTCCTACTCTCTCCCGCCTCCGAAGACCACCGTGGACTCTGCGGCGGTCTCGGAGGCTCTGCGGTGCCGATTTTGCGATCGGGTTGTGGAGCCCGAGTTCAGCTTCTGCCCCTTCTGTGGCGCTGCACAGTGAAATGAATCGGAAATTTGCGTTTTAGGGTTTTGATGTGGTCACTGAAGACTGTATCTTTGTAAATTGAAATCAATGCAAATTTTATATTTTATCAAGTTGCTTGGTTGCCAAGAAAATGTAGCAGAAAAAGCAGAAATTGGAATCAATTTTTGTGGGGTGGATTGCAATTTGGGGTTTAGGGTTTTTGAGTGCTCTGTACTCGGGTATTTCTGTAATTTGAAGTAAAATGTAATTTGATGTTGCAAAAAATTGGGTTTGGTTCTTTTTTGGCATATTTGTTTCGAAGCCAATTTATCATTGTTTTTCTTTTTTTGAACAATATTATTTTTATTTATACTAAGGAGAAGGTGGACTTAGCCTTACAATGAATTAGTAATAATGTGTGATTCAAATTCATCTTCAGAGAGAATCGAATATAAGACATCTCACTTACAAATGAAGATGAATACTATTAGACCGTAGTACTAAATGGTAATTTTATCATTATAATTGTTGAGAAATAACAAAAAATATTTTGAAAACGCGTATTTAAGAACTTCTGCCGTTTATGTGGATGGATACATTGTTTTAAGTTTTTCTGTCAAACATCAGAGCCCGATATTGTAAGAATTGGGTAATTGACTTTCATTAAAGAGAGTGATGTTTTTCATACAAGTACAGCACACAACAACATGTAATTGGGTGGTGGTCTAAAACACCAAATTCTAAGAGTAGGAAACAAAATCAAGGACATGTAAGGAGAAGAAAATAAAAGATATTAACACTGCACACAAAAAAGAAAGGAAAAAAAGGTAGTGCACAGTTTCTTCTCTTGAATTGTACAAGGCTGTTTCTAGATACTATTTTCTTCTTTGCCTCAGACCAATAAACAGTTCCCGCCGCGTCGCTCTTGGATTTGGTTGTCTAAGCCAAGGAATACCACACTGCAAGGGCTTATTGAATGATCATTTTATTTGCAAGTTTGTGCAGGAGGAGACCGTCCAAGCAAGCAGGTTGGTTCCTGAGTTTTTCATCTTCAAAAGAAGGATTTCTTGTTTTGGATTCGGGGTTTAAGTTGATTTGGTGAAGGGTAGTTGTTTATCTCCTCGTTCCAAGGCGTCTCTCCACTGCCTATACCTCACTCCTAGCTTGTCGTAGGTCACCGGCCAATTCCAGACATTTGCCCCGTTGTTCATTCGCTCTTGTTGGCCTAGGACAAGCCTTAGATCCTCGTTCAAAACCTGTGTGGATGGAGCACAACAAATTTTATAAGCGGGAATGCGAGAGAAAATAGTTCTGTGAGAAGTGAAGTATGTCACAAAAAAAGTTGTTTACCTGTTCGGCAAAATGCCTCCACACAAAGTTCATGAAGGGAACATGCTTCAGAACGGGCGCAAAATCTAGTGACATTCTGTATAACAACCTTGTTTTACCTCTAGAAGAAGGTAGGCATACATGGAGTTGATGAAGATGTGTGGAACACTGTTTAGCACTCTGCCCTTCTAGTTTTCCCGGCTTTGATATCCCGATGGTTGAGTTAACCATACAAGGTGGTCGAAATTCCATATCTATAGGATAAGGGTCCCAATATCCTTGGAGGCCAGACGTAGGTGTCAAGAATTTCACGAAGCTGAAGATTCAGATCATTCACAACAGTTAAGTTCTGAACTTCTGATAAAACTGATTTGTTGTGAAACAACGCGCTACGACAGAAGCAATTCCATACTGATGGATGGATTCCACATAAAGGAAAAGAGAAACAAACCTTGGAACACTCCATCCCTTGGCGAAGGTTGATGTGTGAGTGAAAGGAGCATGGGCGAGATCTAAAAGGTTATCAAGAAGCAGCCCATGTTCCACTGGGAGTTCTATGACGAGCTGCCACAAAAACAGTAAGAAAATGTTACAACACTCGTCCACAAAGATAAATAATCTCTAACCTTCTTTAAGAAGAGCTAAAAGGATCAGAATTCCGTTTATAGCATACCTCGGCGTGGATTTGAAATCCTGCAGGAGGTTGTAAAGAAGGAAGAGTGGCTGACGGAGGATCATCACCAGGCCAAATCCACAACATTCCATCTTTCTCGAAACATGGCAATGACTTAATCTTCACTTTGTGTAATCGCGTAGATGGCATTTTTTCACATGTTCCATCGGTTGAGTATTCCCACCCTGAAATTTATCCATCAGAATGTTGTCAAACTGTTGAATCCTATAATCATAAAACTATCCATTGTTGTATGACCTAGATATAGTGCAAAAGGGAATGCCTTTTTAAGATGTCACTAACCATGGTAGGGACACGTGATACGGCCCTCATTTACTGAACCGAGGTCAAGAGGGCAAGCTCTATGTGCGCAGGTATTTTGGACACATCCAGGTTTCCCGTCATTTCCACGAAAGAGAACCCACGGTTCCTCAAAGCAATCAAGTGGAACCTGAAAAAGGAAAATCGATAAGACTCTTGTTCCACAATGAAACTAACTAGTACTAAAGAACAAGTTCTTCAAAAGATTAACTCCGCAGAAGAAGTGTAATCCGATAGATAATATCCAATCTCCATAATGTTCAAACTATAATATAGAGACGAAAACCTATGCCACTGAAATAACTATGTTTTTTGTTGTTGTTACTGCTATTGTAGCTAATGCACAAGTAATGAATGACAAATTCGAAGAACTAGCCTACCATGGTATCATCTTTCAGGTCAGTGGTGAAGGCAACAGGGTACCAAAAATTCTTCAATCGGGGATGGTAGGATTGAACTGGACCTGAAACATTCAAGCTTTTTCGAGGCGGCTTCCGTTTTACAGAATCTAGAGATTGCGTAGAAGCGCTGGGAGAAGGGGATGCTTCCTCGGAAGATGTAGTTGCTCTATCTTGTAACAGCTTATCATTCACTAATTCTTCCATGTAAGCCAATTTATCTAACGCTGTGGAAACCCTTGCTTCCGATATATGAACCTGTTGTAATTCAATTTCAATAGTATCTGATCAGCTGGATAGTCTAGAACTCATTGATCTTTGTTAGTGCTACTCAATTTTCAGTAAGGCGGATAAATGGAAGGGTAATTCAAGTTATTTGGAAGTTACAGGATTTTATATCGTCAGGCGTTAAAAATTTATGCACCTGTCTATGAGCCTCTCGTAGTTCTTCTTGCAACTCCGCGAGCTCCTTCTTGACGGTACCTATAGACTTATAATCTCGGGCAAGAGGATTTAGAACGTCCACAACCTGAGCAGCCATACCCGAGTGTAAGAATCCCAACGGAACATTTCAAAAACTAAAAAGATAAAAAATTATCAACTAAATTATAGTTTCCTTCCATGTATACGGCAATGCTCAACGCGCCGCAGTAGAAATTTTAAAGATTTTGAGATTAGAACTTGATATATCGTCCAGAATCTAGATAGAAGTTATTCATATTAGCACTCTGACCTTTTCATGGAGGAGCATGATTGCAAGCACATCTTGTCGAGCTCGCCAATCGCAGTACTGTATATCATACCGAGCAACTTCCCATGCTTGATTTGCATCCAAGAACTTGCCTTTAGATTGTGAAAATTTCGACCTCGGATCCTCCACATCAAAGAGTGTGCTCCAAACATTCTTCTTCTCTATCTCTGATTCCTCTCCGAAGACAGCAAACACCCGAAATCCTCCTTTCACACCCTGAAATACAACAATCCCACCAACCTAAGCCACCATATACTAACTTACTACGCTTATCATTAGCTTAAAAATCATCGCTTTAACTTGTTTAATTTGGGACTAAGCACTAGTTTCAATCTATAATCTCAATTAATCAACAAACCAGCTAAGTTTCCCTTCAAATTTAGCATGCGCCCACTTAAATCAAAGGTGAAACCTATCCCAAGTTGTCAACTTTTTTACCCAGTAGTTATCAAACATACTAGATTCTGGGCTCGTTTGAAAATGATTTCATAAGCGGTTTGAATTTGAAGCACGATCGAAACTTCTAATAAAAAACCCTAAAAGTCACTTTTACAATACATAAACACTTTGAACGTGTCCTACCAAACATTATCATAAGCACTTTTGATTATTAAAGCCCTTTCCCAAAGCCTCCTAGCATGCATTAATCCACATTTCAACCGACAAGTCTCTTAAATTTGATAAGTATGAATCCGTACCTTCCTGGTGCTAAGCTTGGTCGGTCTACAAAAAGATATTGGCAAGGATAGAGCTGCTGCTGTGGCTACAATGGTCATGGCGTTTGAAGCTGACAGACTCATGGCTCAGAGAGAGACACAGAGAGAGAGAAAAACGTAAGATATTGGTGTCTTAAATTTAGTGTTGGAAATTTCTGCTGATAAGTGGCTGCTCTAGCCCGCGATCTCAGTTGTCCTCCCAGGATATGCCACGTGGACAAAGTTGTCTCCCACGTGGCAAGCTCTAGTTCCACACGCTCTTTGCTTGTGTAGGAGTATCTGGCAAAGGTGGGAGCAAGGGCGGAGCTACGGAGAGATCAAGATAGTTTTCAGGGTTATTTTAACATTTACTTTACGTATAAAAGTTTAGCGTTATACTTATGATTGTCAATTTTTTTTTTATAAGCTCAAGGCTTCAATCGACATTGTTCATAAAGTTTGATTTGAGGTTGGTAACTCCTGTAGAGTTGAAGTAATCCGTTGCTTGAGGACTCTGATTTGAGGATCAGTGGAAGGGGAGAAGAAGAAAGTCAAAGAGGCTTGGGATTTAAGTTTAACAAAGAGGATGATGATGACAAGACCATACCAAACTCAAACGACGGTGATGGTTGCTCACCACACAGCAGAGTAATTTTTGTAATATCAGAAAAGCTTTTAGATTGATGCTTTTGGATTTCTTCTAAGCTAAAATACTAGCTCTACCACTGAAATGGGGCCCTCAAATAGTGCCAGCTCGGATGACCAAGATATCTTGATCTATCTTCTATCTTCCCCGTTAAGTGTTTTTTGTCTGACACTTTGAGCGTTGGGTTTTGGAATGGGTGGGTGCTGAGCCTCTATTTCTTGTACGTGGGACATTTTGTAATGTTGTCCGTTGATCCAATTAATTTATGATAAATTGATTGGCAAAGGGTGATTATTTGTGATCAAAGATGTTGATGGTTGTTAATTGTGATTGATTGCTTAGTGTATAGCATCTCATTGTTGAGTAGATGAAAATATGCTTTGACATACTTAATGGGTTAGGCTCAGCTTTGCGCCCGGGCCGACTCAACCTCAACTATGGGCCGGGCATTTGCTCGATGAAATGGGTTTAATCATTGTTATGTCTCGTGATGAGGATGATAAAAGTGTTACAGCTCATTTGGCAGTACTTTTAGATAATTAAAAGCTCTAATGAGAAAATTTGGTAGAAAAATAGTTTGTAGATATGCGCTTCTTTTAGGAATTACTTCTAGAAAGTCTTTGGATTTGGATTTGGTTTGGTTTCGGCTCAGTCCAATTGGTTTTGTTTGGTTTGGAGAAGAGAGAAGATAGGAAGAGTGGAAGAGAAGAAGAGGCGGACAGCAAGACTAGAGGAAGAGGTGAAGAGAGGAGAATGAGATAGAGAAAGAAGGCAACTCAAAATGAAGGGTAATGCTAATGAGACTAAATTTGTAGACAAAATTTTGTAAACTAAATGATATGGAAGCTTATGATTGGATTATTATTTAAGCATTGATAAATATGCTTATTTCTATTGGTGACACATTATTTTGTTTACAAATTTTATCTACAAATTTAATTTTCCTAGCATTACCCCAAAATGAATGACAAACTTGCATCCACGTTACTTTATGGGTGTACTTTAGTTTTGCTCATGTGCGAATAACATACTTTAACGATATGACTTTTAAAATTCGGATTCATCTTAAGTTATCAATTAAAGATTGTTCATGTAGAAATTCAATCAAATATGTGTTTACAACAAATTGACAACTATCATAACAATTCCATTCTTATGATGGAGCATTCATTAGTTTGACACATATATATGATGATCGTCATAGTGATTGATATTCTACAGACATCACTTAAATGATGATTAAGAAACAAAGAAGCTCCAATATTAAGTTTTAAACATCATGACAAATGGTTGGACAAGAAAGAGCAAACCGAGCAACTATAGTTGAATGTGTATCGTCAAAAAGTAAAAATAATGTGAGTTTGATTTGTTGAGTTTTAGAATTGTCACAAGATAAGAAATTGATGTTTTTAAAATTTTTAGCTCAATTTAGTCTTATACGCATGTTTAGTGATGCAAATTTCCACTCACAAATGACAAGTTCAACTCAAATAAATAAAATACTCAACTCTAATCTTAGTAGACACCATATTACTTAACTCAAACCCTCTATCTCTTCCAATATCACCATATAAATTTGTCTGTCCATACAATTGTCACAAATAAGATTTGGAGAGGGTTCTCATTCAATTAATTAAATCTCAATCGCTGAAACGAGTTGGAAAGTAAACGATTATGGAGAAATTTTTAATTATGACGGGAATATGAGTGATACATCATGTGTTTTTATGTAAATAATAGGAAATTTTATTTTTTAAATTATTAATTTTTTAACACACATATCTTATTATTTATATAATAACACATGATTTATCACCTTGTGTGCGATCACACTGAAAAATCACTCACGATTATGGGCCTTCGTGTTGCATATCTGACTTCTTTGGACGTTCAATACGTGCCACCTAAAACTAATAAAAAAACAGAAAAACATTGAAAAAAATCTGAGCCGACAGTGGCAGCCCGTTGCCCAAGATTAGATTGCGGGCAAAAGAAGCGACCTCCAATCAATCAGACAGACAATCAGTCAAACATTACTAAAGTTGTCCTACCAACAATCTAAGCCTCCCAATTGACGAAATTAATCCAGTGCAATCCGCCATGAGCAGCAAGCAACTACCTTTAACTACGACGAACAACCCTCCAAAATATCTCCTCCTCTGCCCCTTTATCATGGACTTACTGTAGAGAGAGAGAGAGAGAGAGAGAGAGAGTAGAAACAGAGTATGATGAGCAGGACAACGAGATGTCCGAAAGAGGACAAGGCCGGGCCTTTCTTCCTGGCCACTCTGGTGCTCTGGTTCGTCTCCGTTCTGTTCGAAATACTCTTCCACCGGCGCTCGGAGCTGCTCGCCGTTGTTGCCGGCTGCTTCTTTTACCAATTCGCCAACTGGGTTGTCCGCAGTTTCGTCTCCCGTGACCCTCTCTTCGTCAACACCTCCGTTTCGCTCCTCCACTCCTCCATAACCTCCGCTTCAGGTCTCTCTCTCACTCTCTATAACTTTCGCTTTTTGAAATTTTTTCTGGGTTGTGTTAGCTTCTTTGTCCGAAACACTCTGCGGAAGTGATAGGTTAGACAAAGTAATGGAATCTTTGTACCGAAATTAACGTTTGAATTCTGAACTTTGTTAGCTAAAAACTCAGTTAATTAGTAGAAGGTGGGAAAGTGATGATATGAAGATATCTTTTAGTTATTTGCAGAGCCACGGAGGAGAATTGGTTAGTTTAGGATGTCGGATTTAAGGTTTTCTATGTGCCTAGGTTTCTCTTATCTTATGATTGAGGCTGGTTTGGAAGCCATTGTTTCTTTGATTAGATTGGATATGTTGGGGGTCTCTGAGCACAGAGAGACTTTGCTACAACCCCGAGATGCCACTATGGCGTCCTGGTCCCTCGGACCGATGGCATTGTATCATTGCCCCGAACGCCATGGTGACATTCCCGAGTGTAGAGAAGTTCTTCTCCTGAGCACGAAATGTTATGCATAAAAGGGTAATACTTGTCAAAGTAGAATTGTATATTATGGATTCTTAACTGCGATGTTATAGCTTTTTGGGCAATGGACGAAGCAGGTGCCTGCATATAGGATATAGATCAGAACTTGCAATAGCTAATTTGAAAAACGTTTGAGTTCAAGTTCCGAAATCAAGGTACTTAGCCTTCGACATTCATAACCAACTAAATTTTCAAGTCCCCTACAAAACATTTCCAACGAACCCGTTTTTTAACTTCTTTCTGTAACTAGCTTGAGCGGATCTTTCTTCAATCCTGTTATATTTGATGTTAAGTTAAATTTGTCTGTTTTTGCAGTGGTATTCATTTTGGTTAATCGGTGGTTAGAAAATGGCTCGGTTGGAATGTTTGAGCATGCGGAGTTGGTTGGACGTACTTGGCCATGGGCATACCCGGCTTTGTGCTTCTCATGCGGTTACTTTGCATATGATCAGTGGGATATGCTGCAGTATGGGTTATATAGCGGTTGGATCCCTTCCATCTTGATGCATCATCTGGTTCTCCTAATTTGTTTTACTCTTGCTTTGTATCGGAATGTCACCATCAATTACCTTATTCTCACTCTCATTTGTGAGGTATGTTGAACTATCTTCTTCAAAGCTTTCTTTTCCTTAGGCTTTCCTTGGCTTCTTCAGATAATATTTCTCAAGTGTAAAGAAAATTCATCCTCTAGTGTAAACTGGTCGGTTGAACTGTGAGCCAGTTGGACCCAGACACGACGACTTGAACCCATGGGTGCAGTAGAGATTCTACAGATTTTCACCCAAGCTTTCAAACCCTGTTGTTAAACATAAAGTCCATTATTACTAAGCCTCGCATCGCTGTGATCATTTCATAAACATATTGCATAGCAGTAGAAGATGTCAACGTTAAGAATCTGAAATCTTATAGGGATTTAGACTCATAAAGTGAAACCTACATGAAACTGATTCTGATATTTATATTTCTTTCGACAGCTGCACTCTATCTTTCTGCATGTGAGGAAAGTGCGGCGGATGGCAGGCATTCGTGACGCTACAAGCAAAATTGTAAAAGTTGAGTGGGTTCTTAATTGGGTAACCTTCACTCTGGCAAGGACGGCACCTCACATTCTCATCACAGCCAAGCTCTTCTGCGATGCTCCCAAATTCGGAAAGGGTATAGAGCTGCCACTTGCGCTGTTTGGAATGTTCGGAATGAACTTTCTGAATGCTTCTCTTGGCATTGATCTCTTCCATGCTTTCAAGAGAGAGAGGAATCCTCAGCATGCTAATGCTCATCATGAATGACAAGGCCAAAAAGATAAAGAGTTGCAAGTAATTTTGGTTTCTGTTGTTTTATTTAATTGATTTTGCACATGAAATCGTCGCCGTTGATAGAAATGAGTTGTTCTTTGAGAAATTAACAATGTAAATTATGTGAGCATATGAAAAGTATGGTTTGTTTCCGTGGAAATTTTTAAAAAAAATTTCAAATTCAAAATGCTAGGGAGATTAAATTTTGAAAACTAAATGATATGGAAA